GCCAAACAACACCGAATGCGTGCCGCCTCGTTAGCCGGAACCGGGTCTGAGCACCACGGGTCTGGGTCTGGGAACGCGACTGTCGGTCGAGCCGGTGGACTTGATATGATGTCAGATTTGCAACGTGTCCTGGCTGCGCGTCGACGTGCCAAAGAGGCTGAGGTGAGTGAATGGTCGATGGTTTGACTATGGGGATACCTAATTGTAATCATTCGGGTCAATCTGATCATTCCTGTTCGGCCGTATTGGCAGATTATTTCAGTTCAAACATATTACTTGCGTCTTTCGCCTCAATAACATCGGTATACAATACCGTTGTCTAACTGCTCGGCCGGAAGGTATGGTTGATGCACAACCTTACGATCTCAGCGTCCTTGGATTCAGTTTTTTGAGCAACTTTTTGTCTTCGCCTTTGCGGATTAGCCCGCAGGTTGAGTCCCAATCTCAACAACAACTGCTCGATTTTCTTTTTCTGTATTCCTCCGGGTAATCGCAACCTCCATCCAAAATACTGACTCTATTAGTGTATATTAGGTAAATAAAGGCGAAATACAAGAACCATTTAAAGAAGTGCATTCAGGTAGGTTTTTTCTTTCCCGTAAAGTGCATTCTCCGAGGAACTGTGGGCTTATGATTCCACAATTCTGTGTGCGGATAGTATTTTGCAGGCTGTTAATAGTAGATTAGCCGGAAAGCTTCGAGGACAAGTGCTACATTGCAATCCCATAAGCAAAAACAATACGAGACCAACTGTCTGGGCAGACCTCCGATTCTACTTGATGGGTTGTTTGCTGAATAGCAGCGGTGCACACGTGGCACAAACAAACGAATTGAAGTCGAACTATTACTTGTCATTATTAACTGCATTTGGAGTTGCAGGCAGATCTAGTCAATTTCCGGTATAATTGTGTGTGTGTGTGTGTGTGTGTGTGTGTGTGAACCAGCTTAGGAAGCGAAATTAGAGGTCAGTCGACTCCTCCACGTGGTGGACAATCTCGTTTGCTCGATTCCGGCAGAATAAAACTATTCCTCATGGATCTATCTGGCCTACCGGTCTGGTGTAAATGCAATTGCACTGTGTTATCTCACCTCTTGGCTCACACACTACTCCCTGATATTTTGACTGCCTGGATTCCTTTTCGTTCCCTTAGTGAGAGGAAAAAGAGCAACGAAGCGATCATATGTAGTCTGTGAATTGGAAAATGTTGTACCCTAGAAAAACACTAGACACATAAATTGATTGTATGGTTTGTGACAATCATTCACGGTGCCCTTGTGTGGTTTTCTAAAAACAAAATTACATTGGCCTCAAGATATCTCCCTAAAACAGTAACTTCAGGAGTAAACTGTAGCATGTTCAGTTCAACGTAAGGATATTTTGCGCTTGGCGTGGTTTAATCTAGTATTAGTCATGTTTACAGTAACGTATAACGCAAATCAACTGTGTAAAACAATACGATCCGTATTTTGAGCAAATCGTTGTCCATCTTGAGAGTGTGTGGGTTAATGCTCTGAAACGGATACACGCTCATCCCCGCCCGAATGATGAATCGCGGGGTTACTTTCTATGACCTTAGCAAGCTTTTATACTGGCTCCATGGATTCAGGTATTAAACACACACCAATGCGCCACTCTGTCCTGCTGTAAATCGCTCCATTATTTCTAACACGCCTAGTCGGAGACTGGTCAACGAGCTAACTTTGCACTGCAAATTGTTCTACTGAGCAAACCATCATAAAAAGCTACATTGTCAACAATCACCACTACCACCACCACCGCAACAATAGTGTTGGCCGTGCTGCCAAACCGCTCCGGATGTCCGGTCCACGAGCGAAAATTCAATATTTAGGAATAGAGATTGTTCAGACAGCGTAACGAACACCCGTTAGAAGTAAAACCGCTGTCTGACACGCTCCAAGCCCAAAAATTGACATTGTGAGATTAATTAGCATCATATTCTGCACAGTAGTAAACAAATCTCCCACACGCCCCAGTTGGAACATTAAATTAAACTGNCACAAAGTAAAAAAACAGCAGAGATATTTCCATCTCTTGAAAATAAATTGAACCGGTTGTGTTATCGCTATTTCTCATCCAACTTAGCCAGCTGATGGCGTGACTTTGTATGCCGAATTATGTAACCCGCAATGAATGCAAAGCAGCGTGATCGAACAATGCCAAGTCGTGGAATGTTACAACATACAACCACCACCACCACAAGAACAACAACAAAAGCGATGTTGATAATGGAAAATATTACGTAGTTTACACCTTATCGACCGCATTTTGTCGCCCTCACTCTATTCCGCCCAATTAGTGGCGGAATAATAAATAATGTGATCTCTCTCTTAATCGTTTTTCTGCTACAGGAAGGTGGAAGTGCCGATGGCAGTGCAGCTGGAGGTGATCAACCTGGTCAGCAGGGATCCAATGCGACTTCACGCTGGCCCGCTGGCTCAACTCAGTCCGGGAACACATCTGTAACGAACAGTTCCATACCCCCAGTACCACCACTAACCAGCACTGCTTCCTCCGGTAATAATGCTACCAGCTCCTCATCGATTGTCCCTGGATTCGCCACATTGTAAGTTCATTCTGATACCACCCCTGCAGACCATGCTTCCTTTCGATTGATTGTCATTCAGTTCGTCTTAAAACCTTTGAACTAATTGACTGTTTGGAAAGCTCACTGATAAACAAGCCGACTCACATACAGAAATAAATCTTACTCGCATAGTTTTGTGACCCAGAATGGAAACATTTAGTGCAAATGTTTTATGCTGGAGATATGTATGAATACCCGTGTTCACTAATATTTTGTTTGAACGATATCATGTAACGTGAAAAAAAACGTTTTCCACATGTTGGCATCACTTAATCATGCACTGAGCGTGCCTCGCGAAAGATACTATTATATATTATTAATAATAATAATTATTAATCATATAAATCTTACCATTGGGGTCGTGGTTATCTCATTAAATTCCACAGAAACACCGTCCTCCAGACGGTAGCACAATCCGTGCTTGTAATGACAATAATGACATGTTTTACCCTGGGATGAAGTGGCGTCAATAAAACGCTTGCATCTTCCAAATTGTGTGCGTTGTAGAATTTGTACCGCATCTGTTTAGTTGCTGAGTTACTCTTGCGCATTAAACTAAACAAATATATACATGGTGATCAACAGATGTTTAGTCTGGTCGTTTAATCCGTAATCGTCTCCATATTTATCTTTACTCAGGTGCTGTTCATCATCTCAGGTTCATTCACATCGAACCATACGCTTTGTGTTATGACTGGTGATGCTTGGGAGTGAAGAGAAAGCTCACCCTTGTCCAAGAGTAAACTTGGACATGTAGGTCGTGTCAGGTTTGTTGGTTGGGGACCTCGGGATCAGCTGAGGCATTAGTCAGAAACACAGAGACACGACCGTTGCAAACAATGGTGCTGGTGCATCTACTCATTTTCTTCGCAAACTGAGTTTAGCCGCAATCTACATCTTCACACTTGCACTTGCTCCCTTATTCTTCTCTGCACTTCTTCATCCGGATAGACGACAATCGAAAAGCATGAACTGAACTGAATGATTGCGTAGAAACATTTCCATTGGAATCGGATTTCAATTTCATATTAGTAACATTTCCCGAACTAATCTCCATTCTCCTCAGCACGACAAGAAGTGCGCACTGTTCACTGCTCCATTTTGTGCTCTTCCGAAAAACAATATTGATCGTTTCTTCTGGCTATCTCGTTGGCATACTTGACAAAAAAGCTCGCGCCACTCTGATCTGTTCGGTTTCTCCGGATGCGGGCTTTTAGCACCATATTTCTACTCGTTGTGTATGCCAGTGAGAGTAGGTGTGTGTATGTGTGTGTGTATAATGATTGGTTTGCCATTAGCAACAGATTGTCTTTAGTCCCCTTGATGCATGACCTTGTTCGTCTCTTTGTTACAAACCCACATTTGCTCCCACTTCGGCTAGGTGTAACCGTTGCAGGTGGTCCTACAGAGAAATTGAGGCTGGGTTACTGTCTACGTCGGGCGGGGGGGGGGGGGGAGGCTTGTATGTTTGTGTGCAAGCATGTGATAGTATTTATCTTCTGTGTGACCTTAAGACAGATCACTGTTGACCTGATGTGCACCAGAATCGGCTGATACCTACCTGTTATAGGTGGTCTCTTTCGTACGTTTCTACCAAAATCACAATGCTGTTAGATCGCTCCCCACTTAAATTTACTTATATGGATTGTCCGCCACTTTCACAATCGGATAGGTATTATCATAAAGAGTAAAGAATGAACACAACAGTAATTACTCGATTTTTTCGAGTCTCATTCTGCTTCTTTTTTCTTACATATCCGTGGTCAAGTAAAGGCAAGAAATATTTCATGCATCCTGGTGGGTGGATTTTCAGCGTGAAGTTTTCAACCCACACCCCTGTTGTATTTACAGGTACATCAGGAATTCTCGCACACCAAATAGTCAGTCTCACTTCTGCAGACAACCGGTAGCTAAAGATGACAGATCATCTGCACAGCCTAAACCCCAACTCTGTTACACACGCACCCAGTATCCCTCCGATCCGTGCGTGCTCATGTGTGTGCCTCTGTCGGTCGACTGCAACGCGGATAGCGGTGAGCTGTTCTGGGGACAGCCTAGATGATGCGATTAAGACAGCTAACCAATACTGCACCAGAGTTTGCTGATTGTCTGCACCAATGAAACTGAGAATTCCACTTGAGCTGTTGAAAAATTTAACTATTTAGTGTACGAGAATGCCTGATGCATGTATATTCGGAGGGCCGAAGCCCACCTTATTCTTGGTTAGTCGTGAGATGACGGCCGATCCCATATCCGCGACCTGGGGACGCGCTCGGTAGCATACAGCTCTGCTCCCCAAGTATATATATATATTATATTGTATTGTATTCAAGCTTTAGCGAGCTATATACAAGCTTTCAATAAAAAAAAAATAGATCACCGTTACAATTCTGGTAAAAATAGGCGAAAAAGTAGAATGTGAAATATACAAAAATATGAGTTAATTACTAAATGTTTTAGAAAGCTCAGAGCGAACACTTTCCTTGTCGGTCAGTATTCGGGCAAGAATGGGGTTCCAAGGAGTTTCTGTATACGGATATGCGAGACGGGATAAGTTTGTACATGAAACGGGTGCAGGGATAGGATTTGCGTGCACACAGGTCAGTGTGTAGAGGATGGGTGCAATCAGATAGGATATTGACAGCAAACTTCAAGCACGCATCAATATGGGCATTACACATATTGCCAATCAGAACAGATAACGGAATTTGGGAGACACGGCTGATCATTAAGAGGCCACGTCTCAGAAACTTGAACACAGCCTTCAGCAAACCAGGGAAAATTACAGGGGAGTAGTAAAGGGGTATAGGGAGGACACATTGTTGAACGAAAGCGTTTATCACCGACAGGTCAGAACAGAAGTGGTGCAGTCTTTCCATCTGAAAAGAGAGAACTTTGAACTTGCGAGCAACAGTATGGGTATGTAAGGTCCAGCGAAGGTTACTTTCAAGTGTGGCACCTAAGTACTTCACATGACTGACCCTGCTCATGTGCTTTCCATGAATCTGGACATTGTCGGAGGGAGGTGGGGAACGTTTTAAAGTAAAAATACATACAAGGCATTTTTCAGGATTAAGATTAAGACCGGATGAAATGGAATATGAAACGAGGTGGGATAGGTTTATGTTATATTCAACCAGTTGTGGTTGGTTAAATACGGATATTTATGCTAAGGCCAATAATACCATCCAAAAAATGACAACTGAACTCGCATTTATAATGTTAGAAACCAACACCTTTAAATAATTGCGAGTAGATTCCCTCCCCCCCCCCCAGGGATACTCAAAGTGTTGTCCTCTTGTATTTATGTGTCATGATCTCAGTAATCAATTTATTGAAGATGCACTGATATTTTCCACCAAGACCGGTTGTCGTGAGTAGTATGCTTGAATTACGCAAAAAATGTGATTGGTGGTTTGGCACAGCGCTCAAAAATGAACAAAACCTCTAAGTGCGAATTACTGTGTTTAAAATAGTAACTACGGGAAATGCGCATCCCTGGATGGGGAGCTCGGGATGATCGTAACCGATGTTTGCAGACATTGAGTGATATGGCTAAGTGTCGTAAACAGTGGCGTTCGTGTATCTTCTCAATTTCCTTGCAACATTAGTCCACTGAAATTCTCCATTTTCTATTCGACTCTACTTCAAACTTTCTCCTCTTTCTCCTACTGCTCATCCAAACGGACAGCCAAAAGACACCAATCAAAACCGGCGCACGAAAGTGCATGGTTAATGTTGTACAATCTGAAACTGAAAATTGTGGGAATTCGGAAAACCTATTGCAAATGAGACCCATTGTTGTATGTATGCCAATTTACAAATACCATTACCTTTATTCGTAATAATAATAATTAATAATAACACTGTCTTGTGGAATTGTATCACAATGAGTTCATATCAGTCTGAATTGGTTTGTAGCACTGAATAAAGAAAACGATTGCGATCTGCACGCTTTTCGCACTTACCCATTCTGTCTCTGTCGGAACAACTTATTGTTCTCAAGCGCGCACGCACACACGCGCATATATCAACAACTATTGATTGCACACAGTGAATTGGTGACACTTCTGACCGTACAACTAAAGAGTCATGAGATCAGAAATAGTAAAATCAAACGGTCAAGTTTTTTTAACGGCCTTCCTGAGCTTTCAATTTTTTCTCAGTATTTACTAAATATGAATAATCTTGGTTTATCGCGACCTTCATCGCTGATTGTTCGTTAATTGTAGGCGTAAAAACTCCAGTGCTGTGCTAGATGCGATGAACGGGAATTCGGCCATTACAAACGGGACAAACTCGGGCAACGGTTGCTCCGCCACGTCGGCTGCGACAGGCATGCTGTCTCGTGCTGATCTCGAGGCTTTCAAACGTGAACTCATGTCAGAGTTCCGACGGGAAGTTCAACAGCTCAAAAATGATGTGATCGAAGGTTTGTGGATTGTCTACCTTTTCACACTGTACCAGTAAACCTAATTGACTCCTACCGTGCCAGTCTAATGATTTATGGATTAACTGCTGTAATAATGGAACCCTTAAATTGATGTTGAACATAGTCTGATATAGTCCTCTTATATTCGTACATCATGACAATTTCTTGCCAAACAATCTACAGTTTCCTCCTTCGTACATCCGTGTATTTTGCCCATTTTTTGTTGCGGTTATTTAGGCATTCTTTATAGTTTCCTCAGAGAAGATTTAACTGCTCTCTGTCGCGGTTTAGCTACCGTCAGCTGCGGTTCATTGCCCGTCGATCCTCTTATTAATTTTGGTATGACCTGAGCTCACTAGATCCCCATTTGCAACTGACATAGTCTTCCTTCTTATTCATCTCTCCGTCATTCTCACATTTCAACTGGGCCTAGTTTTCGGCTATGCATGAATTTTCAGTCCTCTTCGTATTCTCCTATGCACCCTCACAAGTTGTTTTGTGACTGAAATTTAAGCATAATTGTTTACGACAACTGCCTTTTAATAAATTACGCTGTGTCTAGAATGCACCCCAATTAATCTTCCGTACGCTTTGCTTTGCGTAGATAGGGTCGCCCGTGAGTCGCACAGCTTTATGTTACCCCTGTTAGCAGTATGCTTAGTTCGGCCGTCACACGGTCAATAGAGACGAGACGTTATCCAGTACCTGCATCAATTGGAACTACTTCGATCAGAGCATTAACGCGCGACGCAGTCACGATCACAAACGAGTTGATCGATCGTAGAGAACGAACAACCGGTACAGGGATTTCAGCAAATTCACAGATACCAGACTTCACTCTGAAATGTGCTGCTACGGGTTTTGCTCATAGTCAACGTAAACATGCTTGAGGCTTGGATTT